TATATGCATTAATGCTGCTGCCCATCTCACCCCATCCACATCTTTTGGAAGTGTTTCATTAGCAATACATTCTTGCAATTTGAAAACATTGAGTGAGTATGATATAGTGACCCAAATCACATTATCAAATTTGGTCACATTCAACAAATCATTGTTGATATGTTTCATAATTGTAGTCTTCCCAACTCCTCCAATCCCACAAACTCCAATCATTCCAATCTCATATCCCATCAAGCATCCCCAAATTTTTTCATTTGCAGAAATTTCACCCTTTAAATCTTCTGTTAGCAACATGATTCCACTTGTTGGAGTTCTACTAATTACAACGCTTCCAACAAAATTACCCTGATCATATACTCCCTTCACCACATCAATTTTTTTCCTAACAAGTTTTCCAAGATGAGAATGTGAATACCATTTAACCCTCTGCACCTTCTGTTCAACAGCTTTCATTTCACCATCAATCTTTTCCACACGTACAAGCCAGCCTTGCCCTTCCTGCTTGACCTCTATTCCTGAGTGAACTTCTACTTGTATTCTTGATCTTATATCTTGTTTTCGTCTGTCTAGATCTTCCAATTTGCTCATGAACTCATTCACATCTTCATCAAAATTTCTATGACAATCCATACGGTATACACGTTGGATTCCATATAAACTTCACTATTTCAAGTGCTCCATTGTCAATAACATAGTTCCTGAAATTTGATATATAGACAATAAGGATCAAATAATGATTCTTTTAGTGTTGATTATTTTGAAAAAAAAAAAAGTGATGTATAAATAAATAAACAATTTAAATTACCAATTCGTTCCAAAAAAAAGGAGTTTCCAAAATTCATATTACCAAACAAATCATGGGAATAGCATAAATAAATAAACATATTTAACCCAACCTCTGTCTCCTATTAAAATATATTAATTAAAGAAAAGAAAAAACATAATCATTTAATTCTTACTTATAGAAAGTAAAGGAATCCAAGAAAAAATTAGAACCCAGAGGATTATATATAGTAGTAATTAAAGTAAAAGGGAGAAAAATGGAAACAGGGAAAGCTTAATTTTAAGAAAGAAGAAACAGAATTTCCCACATCAGTTTTCTGTGCTGAGCATCTATGTACAACAAATTACTGATTCAATATGTGGAAGAGACGAAACAGAATGAAGATCGTTGATAGCTTACCTCCGATGGGCTTACCGATCGTCAGATCAACAACAAAAGAGAAACTGAAATAATTCAGTGGAAGGTATCAGAGGAGCTGGCTAGGGTTCAGCTAAAGAAGACGGGATTCTCACGCCAAACGGATAAAGACAACAAAAAGGAACAAACTCAAGTATGCCCCTTAACTTAGTTTTTTCTCAATTTAGACCTCAAACTTGTTCTTTAGATTACTTAAGCCCTTGTACTCTCCGGTCTCCTCTGCCTTTTTTTTTTTGGGCCGGGGGGCCAAACATGTATAAATGCATACTCAAGCCCATGAACTTCTTCATATGTGATTTTTAAGGTCCAGAACTACTAAAATGGAAAATGTAAGGTCCATCAATTATTCGGGGTGACAAAGAAGCCTATTTTAAGAAGGAAAGAGGGGCATGTGACGATTATCCCACGGCAGTATGGTTTTATAATGGTGCATGGCGTAAAGACCATTGGAAAAAGAAGCAATATAAAGTTTCCATACTTTGGATTTAAGGTTTTAGAAGATAGACTTGGCCTTTTAGCAAGTTCAACATTCCTCAATTTCTAGGTTGGGTGTCCAATTACCCTTCCCTAAATCCAAGCATAGAAATCTAGGTCCATTCATCCAGGGACTTACCGTTAGGCACAAGAGGACATCAAATGTTCATCAATCTTGTTAGGTCTAGGTTTGGTATAAAAAAAAATGAAAATAAAACAGTTATATTGGCTAAACCTGACATCAAAGAGGGGCAGGTGTTTAAGCAAACCACCTCCTGGCTTGATGGTAAACAAGCCATTTTGAGAGGCAAAATGTGTTAAGATTTGAACATTTACATCCCCTTCTTCCTCTCATTTCCTATTCTTGCCCTATTTCAAAAATAAAAAATAAAAAATAAAAACATAAAAAGAAAGAAAGCTAGAGAGGCATGTATTTTAGTCAAACATTTATAAAATTTTGCAATGTACAAATAAAGGCGGCCTTATCTACCATCTGTTAGTAGCATCAAAAATTTTGTGCACTTCATGCCTGAGACCCTATTTCCCTCACTGTATATTTTGCTCAAAGAATGGGCAAATTAAGTTACCAATGACAAAGAATGACCGTGCCTACTTTATTCCTTCTCTTTTATTTTCTTTGTCGACCCTTCTTCGATTTATCTACATGTTTTCTGGATCTCTTCTGTCAATGTTGTCAATGCCACTTTCCACTCATCACTTTGTGCCGAGCTAGAAAGTATCCTCTTCATTATTTGTAACTCTCTGGGATTTGCCTTCTTGAAAAGTCCTTGTATAACTACCTGCACCTCTTCATCAACTGAATCATCTCCTATAACTGGAGTCTCCTGATCATGCTTTGTCAAATCAAAACCAAATAATTTTCTCTTGGTTTCGTCAGGGGAGCAGCTTAAGCCAAACGGGCACTTCTTGGCTTCATTGTCATTGTCCACGTCCAAAGTCTTAAGCCTGTTATTCCAGTACTCCGCACATTGATGGTCTGGGTCAAGAGCTTCAATTGCCTAAAAACAGAATGGTTAAATCAAGAATGAAAATGCAGCTGAAGTCAGAAATCATAAAGAAAAATTGAAAATGCATCACTACATGTCTCCTTGCATGGACAACTGTATTTTTAAGTTAACTTTTTTGTTAAATATATAAAAACTGCAAAATGGTAAAGATTTTACGAAGTATAATAAGTTGGAGTAATATTTCAGTGTTATTATGCTTGTTAGTTGAAACACATATTTCAGTATGATAAGCAAGCACCAGAAAGTGAAGCATGGAATTATAACATCTGAACAATTTTAGCATTACAGAAATTTATTCTAATAGTTGGAGTAGAAATAATGACATTCTGTGAAGTGATTGGCTTATGTTTTCCCAGTAAAATGATGGACAAATCCATTGCGTTTGTAGAATTGCTAACAAAAACAAGGCTATGCACACATAGGTTCAAGAAATGCATCTCACTGCCCACTCAATTAATGTTCTTTATAGAAGATACAGTCAAATTGATCAGATTAAGATGCATTAAGGCAGCTTTACCTGAATTATCTGTGATGAGAGAAACCCAAACATTTCAAGACCATTAATGCTTTCTAAAGGGAGCAATCCTGTTTGACCTATATCCCTCTGTCTTGCAATTTCTTGATTTAGCCGCTCTAACACCATCTCCCAGCATTTCTCTGCAGATACATTTGTAAAGCTTTGGCCTGGGCAGTCTTCTAAACTAACCTGAAATTTGTTATATCGGCTTTAGCAGGTAAAATGATCATAATGTATTGAACTGGTATTGGTATTCGTGGATGTATTCAGATCAATGGGATTTGCAAATCATGTAATTAGTCCTAAAGCCATAAAAAAGGGGGGGGGGGGGGGGGGGGGGGGGTTGGGAATCCAACCTTAAATAGAGGTCCAAGAAGCCCAGCATCTAGTACTTCTGAGATGTAGCTGCAAATTTTTGTTGGATCAAGCACACTAAAGAACTTAACACGACTTCTAAATCCTGAAAAATTCAAGCTTGCATGAATAACCAAAGACCACATAATCCATAATCCTTCTATCAATAGAATGACAAAAAGAAGAAACCCTAACCAAATTGAAATTAGGATTACATGCAAAAGTTTTCCACCTGCCACATACCTTTAGGGAATATAGCTTGTGGGTTGCACCATAGCTTTCCAAACATGACAGATCCAAAATTTAAAGGTTCAACACAAGTATTTAGGTTTTCCTTTGTATTGCCTTGGTCAGCCACAGATAAATTTACATCTAAGCTGTTGCCTCTTTCTGTCTTCAAACAACTGTTAGATGACACTTCTGAATGTGGATCTTTAGACAGAACTTTAATGGCAAACAAGTTCTTTCCCTCAAACAGATGATCTTTCTTCTGTGATTCTGAAGGACCTAATGAACTAGCACCTTCACTTGGCCACTTCAGATCGGGTTTTCTTCCTTCATCAGAGTGGCAAACTTTGTCTTGTTTATATAACCTTTCAAGTCTTCCCACGTCCACGATAGGGTTGTTATTATGTCTATCAAAAGCATCCAGCCACCCACTCACAGGATAATCTGATATGGCATTAAGATTCAAGTCAATGCAGCCATCCTGCTTCAAGATTACCTTACTTTTCTTGACAAGGGCCTCAAAACTTAAGACATCATCGCAACTGCTGCTATTGAAATGAGAGCACTTTAAATTAGAAGATCCCTGCTGGGACTCTGACTCGATTACTTTTGAAGGATCATGATTAGAAGAACAGCAAGGACCATTAGCATCTGCCATTTTGTCTTCCCTAGGAGAAGAAGATAAACTTCTCATAGGTGAACATTTAATCGGGAACAATTTACTGTCTTGACGATCATCACAATCATTAATGGGATTGAAACTCAGATCATCAGAAACCCATACTTTTGCAGCCTCTAATCCTCCCTCCAATGCTTTGACTAGTGTTTCTAGTTCCTCTATGGTATAACGGAGAAGGATAAATCCACCATCTTCTTGACATGAACAGAAATTGTTTACATGCTTCAAACATGCAAATCGATCAGGCGAGCATTTGCAGCTGGCAGCAGATAGATGCAAGTCATAGAAGCAAGAGAAGCATTCTCTCTCAGTTTCCAAATCAAAGTCCTTCTCCATCTTTTGCAACTTAAAATAGGGAGGAAGGCACTTTACTCTCTCATCCTCCATCTCCACCCTCAGCTAAGGAAAAAAAACACATATATTAGTACTAATCAAGCTTATAAGCAAATTGCCCCTAACAATGATCAAGTATATGGAAGTTTAAATACATGAATGCATGCACATCTGTATTTGATATCTACCTTAACTGCTTTTGTAAGCATCCCATCCTTCCCACAGACACTTTTCCACTTCAAGTTTCCAGGAGTTACTTTTTCAAGAACAGACAGCTCCCAGAGGGCCTGAATGGCTTGCTGAGCTGATCCAAGGAGCAACTTATCATGGGAAAGTGATGTCTTCCGATGTTGCTCACTGTATAGTTCCACTGCAAGTTGACCATGTGCTAGCCAATCTACAGGAGCAACATTCACAGCCTCTGCACAGTTAAAGCCACAATTAAATCCAGAGTGATATGCCCTTGGAAAGGTGAGAACAAATTCCCCAGCATGCTGAACAGCTCGATAAACTGGAACACCCTCTGCTTTGAGAACGGATGGAGATAATTGTGTAACCTGCACCAAGATTAGTCAAAAAAGTCAGGCCTGTGGTGCCATGGTAATAACATACTAAAATAGCAAAGCACATTGGTTTTGTAAGGCCTAATATCAAATGGACATGAGATAAGGGAGTCCCAACTCCCAAGAATTGATACAGCGAACAAAGAAAAAAAAAAATTTAATAAAACAAGAACTAGAGCAAGTTGAAGATCTGAAAACTATAACTAGCATCTTCAAATAAACCTGATAATAAAATTTATTTGGATTATGCTCATACCAATTTTTATACTGGTTGAGGATACCTCATCAAATCAAAATCTCTTTGACTTGGTCAGAAGTGCAATTTATCATCTTAATAGGGTACAAGTTGCTAGTGTACGAGCAAGACAAAACATGTCTACATATGTGGTTCAGCTAAAGCTACCTAAATGCTCTCCTCTGAACTCAGGGTCTAGTACCACCAGACCTTATTGCCTAATAGTGTGCTAGAGACCAGTACACATGTTCAGGCAACCTAAAACACTACTAAGAACTTTACAAAGTAAATATTTGAATTTTAAATGTGTACTAGATAACAAGAAACCAAACGTGACTGCAGTAGGGAACTGCAGTATGCTGTGTGGTAAAAGTGGTATATTTTGGTACAATGATATATTATAAACAAACTGTAAACTATCATTTACCAATTCATTAAGTAAATCTGGTGATTCTTCAAATAAATCTGGCAGATGTTTTCTCATTGCAGACTCCAATGAGGATGCGTGGCTTCCTGGCACACCATACCACATTTTTGGGTCACCCAAGTGCATATAGTTTAGCGAATACAGGTGATGATCCTCCACATGCTGTTTTAACAACGACCCAGGAGGGTGAAAAACAAGAAAAATTAGAAATGAGTAAGGACGGGCATTGTATCAAATAATGGGCAAACACTTCCTATTTCACTACTTTCTTCCTCTCTGCATGTGCAGTGTACATCAAGTCTTCAACAAAAATGCATGTCTTTTTTTCCCTTATACAACATAAAAAGGTTCCAAGTCTAGAAGTAGTTAATGAAAGCTGACAATATATAATCTTCTAAGAATGTTTGTTTCAATAGTTTTCAGCACCATTCTCATCTCCTGTTTCTGGTCTAGGTCAGAATGCAAAATGATAGACACCATCCATGCTAATTTTCTTTAATCACTTGACAAAAAGGAGAATCAATAAGAAAGCATTTTCCTATTTTGAATTTATTGTCAAAATTTTCATTTATAAACTTAATATCAGTTTTAACAACTTCACGTCTTGAATTTGAAAGAGATCTAACACTTGAAAAAAAAAGATATATTCCCCAAAAATCATGAGTTAGAAAACTTGTTTGTGATTAGTGATTGTGTTCCTAGAGGTGAGCCTACATAAACTTCTTTTGCTCCCTTCAAAAACCATTGGCCAGGAATCCATCCCTACAATAAAGATGACATCATAATGCTGGGGAAATGCACAATTATAAGAGATCATGGCAAGCATCCATAAATATCATCAGATATAACAAGTAATAACAGAAAAAAGGAAGTTTAACTGCCTATATTATTTATCATAATATATAAAGTTAGATATCCAAACAAGAGAATAAAAAATCAATATACTCTGTAGTACTGTATCATGAGTTCCATGTCAAACATTAATCTTAATAGTTCTGGAGACTTACCCAACAAAATGATGAAAAGCACATCCCAACATAGAGCCATGGCACTAGAACTCCTGATATATCACATCCTTCAAAACATAACACAGAACCTGGCAAGCGAGGGAAGTTATTGAGGTTCCAACCAGACATTGCATACGTATCTGTATCACTTCCAGATACCATGGATGATGCCTTAGGAAACCCACTTCCAAATGTTCCTGTTTCCAAATCAGCTCCATAATACACCTGCATTATTAAAGTATAAAACATCCACCAAAAATAAAATACTTCCAAGAATGAGATGCATGAGAGAAGAAGAATTAGATAACCAAATTCCATACCTCAACCTCATCAGTTGGTTGCTCAACTATACGCCAGTATTCACCTTCAATATCCTCTACAGTAGGTTCCCATTTCTTGAATTCTGCTCCATCAGATTTTAAATCCTCGTTGGAATCCTTCATTTCAAAGTAAGCCTCTTTAAAAGTACTAGCATGTTTCTGAAACTCTTTGAGAGTAAAATCTGATCCTGAATGAAATCCAAACTTCTCATCAGTCTCAGAAGTGACACTAGCTTCATAACCAGAATTAGTACGTCTCCTGGTGGTTCCCATTTTTGAATGTCTCTTTCGCTTCCGCTTCCGACTTTTGCTTTTCTTTCTCATTGGCTCCCTATTTTGAAGCAGGTCAATTTGCTGAATTCGTGAGGAAAATTTAGCATTTTCCCACATATCTTTATCTTCGAGAAGACATGGTGGAGTCCAAGAAGGTGGAGGAACAATCCGGCATATACCAAAAGGTTGAGCTTTGGTACGTATCTTTTCTATGTAAGCAAGTGTGTCTTCAAATTCCTAATGGATGGAAAATCATTTATATCAAGTAATCCAATGAAAAGTAAATATGAACTTTGTAATTTTAAAAAATATTTACCTCAACAGTTGGATAGAATACTGGAGCGTCATCAATAACAGGCCTGCACGCTCCATCTGGAACCCATCTTGCTGATACCTAAAACATGTTAACAAAGATCTCATCAATTTAAGCAACAAGAACTGAGAGCAATAAGATATTAAATTAATTACTCCACTAAGTAACAACTGATATTGAATTATGGCTTTGGAAGTATTTAGATGCACTTGTCAGTTTTTTTTTTTTTTTAATATATATATATTTTTTTAAAGCTCCCAATCTATGATATTTCTCTCAGACCCTAAGCATGAAAAATTTACTCATCTTCATTGGAAATAAATACCTCAAAAATGTATTTTTCAACCAGAAAACACAGAAGTTAATAAACAGCAAGCTATTGCATGGAGGACATCTCAGTCACCACAAACAAGTTGTATCTAGCCCATCAGTTGCACTTAATTGAGTCATATTAACTTACCTTTCGACTACGAGGACTACCAGAAGGCTCAAGGTTATTGTCCCTTTTGGGGGTTTGCTTTAAAGAATGATCCTGAAAATCATTTTCTGTTAGATATTTATATATATAGCTCGATATAGGCAATTAAACATTACAAAGCAGATCCTCACATATAATGGTATTACTCTATTAGATTTTAACATTAAGCTAAGACTTTAACTAGTTAAGTAGCTTAAACTGGCAATCATCAGCAATAAACATAGGCTGATTTGAGACCAGGAAAAGCACAAATTGTCACACTTCAGAAAGGGGACTAAAACATAGAAGGCGGTAATACTGGCATAGCTAATCCCAATCTCAAAACTATCCTCACCATGCACCAATGCCTCACTAACATTAAAACCCATGAAATTAAAAAAAAAACCAATCACATCTTTAAAAAAGGTATTGTAAGGTTTCAGATCCAGTATATCAATTATATAATGTTATAGTGGAGCAAAAACCGTAATTACCATAACATGGAATATTACATAACAATGAATTTAATATTAATTCTCAAAAGCCAACAGAATGGAGAAGAAAAAGAACTAATTTAACCCCAAAAAAAACCCCTAAATTTTATCATAGATAGTACATAATACACAGATCTGCAGTCTGTTAAAGGAAATCAAAAACATGTTATATAATTGAAAGATGCAACTTCCACACAATCAATCTGGAGAGATACGGCACACAAAACTGATTAAAGGGTATATAATTTACATGAAGCGATAGAAAACCTAACCTCTTTGGAATGAGACTCAGCAGATAATTTCAACTGTTCCATTGCATTGAGAGGATAAAAGAATGTGAAATCCAATTCAAGAAAAATCGAACCACCTGCCAATCGTTGAAAAAAAAAATTGTCTTTATTCTGAGAAACAGTTTCTGGTTTTTGTTTGCAAGCAAAGAAGCTGAATCCACATGAAACAATAATCAAGAAAGAGAAAAGGTGGGAACTTTCGCAATTAATCAAATCAAGAACCAAAATCCCATTAGTAATAGGAGAAGAAGAGGTAGAAAATCAAAAGGGGCTTTTGAATTACCCTAAAATTTGCTCGTGAATTCCCCCAATCAAAATTAATCTACATTAACAAAATTATTCATCCTTCTTAAAAAAGAAAATGACATGGTGATATTTATTGACCAAGTAAACCCAAATGAACCAAGAAAAAAGGCCAAAAAATATAAATATTAAATGTGATTGGTGAAGGACGTACAAATAACAAGGACGAAACTGGTGAAATCAAAAACCCAATATATAAATTTGAAAGAAGAATTTAATTATTACCAAAAAAAAAAAGAAGAAGAATTTAATTAATGAATAAAAATAGGATTTAAAGAAAAAAAAAAAGCACCTTAAAGATTAAAGAGGGCTGAGATTCCAAGATGAAAAAGCTGTGGTGGGGTGGCGGGCATACCTGAACTGAACCCTTCTCCTGGTCCCTTTTTATATTTGGTTACTATTAAATAAATGCATTTAATTTTTTTTTTAAAATAGTAAATTAGCAGAAAATACAATAATAATAATAAAGGGGAAAAGGATAATCGGTTAGGGAAAGGACTCCTTGATTGGATTTGTACAAAATCTAAGTGTCTGTGGAAGATTTTTTCCTTAAGGGAGAGAATGAGGTCAACATGAGGTAGAAGAAGAAGAAGAAGAAGAAAAAGAGGCTGCATAAAAGCGTGCGGTTGCACAAGGGTCACGCACACAGTTTTAACGGAAACCGGCAAAAAGACAAGGAAACTATCTCACAGAGAAACCAACTCCCAACTATACTAATCAAAAAACCTGTTCTGTACCTTTAATTACCAGTTTGCTGTCTTTATTCCCACCTTATTACGGTCACTGCCACCCAATCCTTAGGGCGTGTTTGGGAACGTCATGTGTTGTGTCTCCGGGGAACTATTCCTTGGAGGACTACTGTCAGGTCCCTTAATCAACCAAATTGAGCAAGTTTCGAAAAAGTTAACCTCTTGAGAGTCGTACCAAAAAAAAAGGAAAAAAGAAAAGAGCACTGGACAATAACGCGGATGTCACAAGTTGAAACCTGCATAGGCCACTAAAATGATGTTGGGTTTTGAGTTTCTTCGAAAGGCATGGGCACAAAAGAACAAGCTCGTTAAGGTGGGCATCAGAAATTTCTCTAGTATACACCCTTGACATTCAAGTCAAATTGAATTCTCATGAGGCAGGTTTTTAAGCGGAAGAGAGGAATAATAGAAAGTTTGAAATTTGAAAATTATTGTAGGATATATACCAATCCTACTTATATTAGTGAGTTAACATCTAATTAATAAATAAAAACTTGTTAGGCATGTATATATGTCGAAAATTAAACTTATAAAGTCAAATTTGACAACAGATGAAAATGTGTCACATTGGACACATTAAACATCGTTCACTTATTAAAGGACAACAGTCTCTTTACAAGTATCAACACGTACACATTTTTTATTTAAGTGTAAACTTATCTTTACTTATATCAAGTCTCACATGTACCTTATTTATTTTTTCTTTAATCATCACGCATTCTTTATTTAAGTGCAAACTTGTTCTAACAGATAGCAAGTCTTATATGTACCTTATTTATTTTTTCTTTAATCACTGAGTTTCGATCTTAAATAAACAGCTCAAGTCTATCAAACATCATTTAAGTTCTACTCTATATTCAGATATTAGATGTTTTTTTTCTAAGGTTACATAAGTTAAAATATAACACAACTCAATCGGTCCCCTTCCCAAGAACTTTTCTAATCATACATGAGATGGTATCCAGTTCTTTTCCACTATGACTTAAATCTATGTAAACCATTAGAATCATAACACATGTAAATTGTATACTTAATGACATTAATAAATATAAAAGGTATTCCTTATAAGGAATGGTCGATTTTATTTAGTTAAGCAAATACACCTTTAAAAGTTATTTGGTTAGGGATGATAATACAAAACTTTTCGACCCACTCTTTTTCTCTTAAAATATTTATTTCGTCAAAAATTAATTTTCATGTTTCACTCAAAATTTGATAAATAAATATTTTTCTCTTGGTTGAACCCTATTTTAATTAATTGCTTAACTTTCATTGCTCACCTTATCTTTAAAATTTTCTCTTTTATCCTTTTTTAAGTAATGATAATATTGATAAAAATATAAATTATCTCAAAATACTTAATTTGTGGAAAAATTAACAATTATTTTAAGACAAAGAAAATACATACTACTCCCTTATATAGACAAAATTTTCCTACTCCAACTTAAATATTATTTATTTACTATAATTATTTATTCTATTATAAATATATTGCTTTATTTTTTATTTTTAAAAATAATATAAGTAAAAATATAAATTATATACCATCTTTATTCTTAATATATATATATTTTTTTTTAAAAAAAAAACTACGTTATCATTCTGAAATCGTTGGAGAGTATATACATTAAGGATATGTTTGGGGCAGAAAAAAATTGAGGTGAAAAGAAAGGAAAGGAAAGACAATAAATTTTTTCAATTTAATAAAGGAAAAGGTACCAAACTTTCATTTAGTTAGAGGAAAATTAAATTTTTATTTATTTTCTACATATTTATAAATCCAAAAACACTATGAAATTTTTTTTAACTAGAAAATTAAATTATAGTTTGTTTTGTACAAATTGTATTACTTATTATAATTGTTAATTACTTAAAATTAAAGTAATAAAATTTGTATAGAATGAATTGTATTGTAATATTCTCTTTTCTAAACTATAGAGGTTTCATTAATTTTGAAGGATAACTCAAAATTATACCTCACAAATGATAATCTCTCTAGTTTTTTTCATAAACTTTTTAACCAATTTCTTACTTATCAAAATGCAAACCCAACACACAAAAACAAACATAACCTTCACCTGAAACCAAACGCACCCTTAATACGGATAAGAGCGAGCCAACCGCATGCTTCTTATTCTTTTTTATTTTTTTGAGCCAACCGCAGGCTATTCCATTAATTTTACCTGTCTCAACTTTTCCTTTTGCCAAGGGTGAGTGTGGGTATGGGATGCGTTAAATAATTCTACCATGCAATTGTGGTATGGTTGAGGTAATATAACAAATGAAACAGAGACAAAGTAATAATCAAGTGATTCTATTCTCTTTTTTAGTTTTGATAAGGAGATGATTCTATTCCTAGTAACCAAATCTCATATTATATTTTATGTAAACATTTTAAATTAATATATATTTTATTTTTTTACATCTGATTATGGATTATATAAAAGGGATAATTATTTTCTGTTTTCAAATCCCTTCCACCAAACTCAAGACTCGAACTTAAGATTTTAAACTTAAAATCTTATATTATTAACTATTAAATTATCCCATTGGAATTATTTTAAATTAAAAATGTTAGTTATGTGACAAGCTAGTATTTAGTTGAGATATTGAAAATAATATGAAAATTAAAGTATTACGTAATATTATAAACTTTTAATCACAATATATTATTATAAAATTGAATCTACTTGTAATATTATACATATTTATTTAATAATATATAATAATAAAATTAAATTTATATAATATTATAATTATATTATTTGCAATTAAGATATTGCCACGTGATATAACGATTATTAAGTTGTATAAAGCAAATTAAAAACAATTGAAGAGGTCAATGATAATATCTTTCCAAGATTGTATCTTTTTTCTTAACCTCAAATCAAGATTTATTTTAAGTTACTAACTATTAATTCAATAAGTTTTTATAGGTATTATATATATATTTCTATGTATATTTAAAAAAAAAATCAAATTTTCTTGTCCAACTGGCGATGGCCCAACACTAAAATGTCAGGATTGAATCCTTTGGGCTGGACTTGGGCAGTGAAAGTTAATAAATTATTTTTAATTTTCAAAGGCTACGGTCCAACCTGGCCGTTGAACAGCTCTTATTGGACCCTACTTTATGAAGGTTGATATATTATTTTGGGGCCCAATTAAGGGAGGTTGATTAAATTGCAAGGCATATGCATCACAAAACGTCATTAATTTATCCAACAGAAAAACAGAGTCACATCCTAAGTAGGTGATCAGATGTAACAAACATTACATGCTTTAATTTCACAAGGAAACTCCACGAAAACAGAAAAGAGCAACGGGTAATTTCCACAATCACCTAAAGCACTAGAGATGACAAACCACACCAAGGAGAAAAAAAACGCAAAGCACTAGTTACATGATGGTTAAGGGAAAGAAATATTTATGTGACTGGTGGTGGCATTGGGCTTTAGAAGTTTGATGATCGAAATGGCACAGATAAGCAGCATCAGAAATAGACCAATGAAGGAGGAGATGAGGGCGCCGCCGCCATGGTCGCAGAACTTTCCAAATCTGTCACAAATCTTATCCCACCTTGCATGAGAATTCCCATGCTTTGCCAGGTCTGCCATGAATGCCGCCGCATTTACCCCCGCCGATACCAACACCACATTCAGCTGCAGTATTATTAGTTTACAAAATTAGCAAACCGCAGTACAAATTGACAAACATGCATGAGAATTAAGCCAATTACATAATAGAGCACCACATAAAACCTAATGATTCTAAAAACTTGATGATTTATCTATAATAAATGAACAATAATTTGATTTGTCATTAAAAGTGAGGTTAATACAAAATTATTTTATAAAAGAATGATTAGATAAGAGATCTATCTAAGTTTTTTATTTGTTTACTATAATTAAAATTTTATTGACTTGTTATATCATGTTAACTGTATTACAATCAAATATAATTAATATTTGTTAAAAATTTCCGAAGACAATAAAAAGGAGATAGAAGCGAAATGCTACCACATCTAAAATGGCAATTCCAGGAAGGCGGAAGCCTTTGTAATCCAACTTCCTTCCAAAAATGTCCAGCAATATCATTAGCAAGTTGTGGAGACTGCCAAGTCCATTAGCCACCACAAAGAACCTACACCACATCAACATATATCTAGTTAGTTTCCGATATGTAATATATTGAAACTGAATGTTGCGAGATCAATATTGAAGCTTACACGTTTGCTGGGGTGTCGTTAAACTTCGCCGTGAGAGTCGCTTTTATTGAGGTGGTTCCGATGGTGGCAACCACGAAGGTCTTGGTCTGTTTGTTGAGGGCCATGACGATTGTTGCGGCTGCCGTGGCCGAGAATGCAAGCAGCCTCAGCAGCAGGAGAACCCGGTTGATCTTGGTGCATGGTGCTGGTGCTGAGCTTGGTTTTTCTCCATTTTGTGGAGCCATGCCTATAAGGAAATATATGTAGATATTAAGGGAGAAAGGAAAGAGAGTCTTATATATGTAGAGTTTGAAAGAGAACGAAATTCACCAGTCAAATCAGCAAAGTGAAGAACACAAGGAGTATTCTTCGGTGGTTCCAACCATCGATCCGCTTGATTTTGCATATAGGTGTTGGTGGTTGGGAAAACTCACAAACTCGTGGACCACACATCCTTTGCTCAAGAAAGATGTTTTGATTCTTCCATAGTAGTAAGTAGACGTATTTCTTCCAAGTAAATTGGATTAGTATTTTTTTTTTCTTTTCTAATTTTTTTAATATAGTAATTTAGTAATATCATAAGTTAACTTTTATACATCATATTGTATATATTTTTTTAATTCAATCAGAAACAAACTATTCACATTAAAAAAATTCAGAATAAATTATTTTCTTATTAATTTTTTAAAAAGTTGAGTCCTAATAAACAAAAAAAAAAAAAAAAGGTAGGGAACAATTATAAATCCCCTTATCATATACAAAAATTTCATGGTAGCTAGGAGTTGTTAAAAAAACTGCTGGTTACCAACAACCAAACAGTTCTATGAAAATCTCACTTCTTCTTCTTCTTCTTTTTCGAGATCATATGCTTCAAAATTATTAATATATAGTACTGTTAACTAAAACCTGAAAAAGGAAATGGCTAATCCAGTTGCCTTTAGGCTGATTAATGAATTTTATTGCAAATGAAAATATGCATTAGCAATTGTAAGATGTAACAGAGAATGTGTTTGATCTTGAAATGGGGTTTGGTCTCTTGATTTTTCAGGTCGAAGTTGGTAGATGCAGTAGAAGAGACTGGGTGTAAAACAAACAAATAATTCAAACCTGCTTAGTTATTTTTCCCAGTTTCCATTATTGGCATTGTTACATTGAAAAAGCTAAATTTAGGCCACCATGGGCCTCTCTTCCTTTTACTATATTTGGTAAAATTTAAAAAGTACTTAATTTAAAAATATTATTTATTTTTCACAAATTTAAAATTTTATTATCTTGTTGGAGAGACATAACAAAATTTCTTTTTAAGTAAGTTTTGAAAAAGCTATACATTTAAGTTTTTTTAAAATTTACTTAAAACTTATTTTGAAAGACAGTTTTAGAATTTTTTTTAAACAAAATTTTAAATTTATAAGAGATGAATAATACTTTTAAAATAAAATGCTTTTTAAGTTTTGATAAAAACACTTTTTGAATTTGAAATTCTAAATACTAACAGTGTATTTAAATTGAGGAAAATGAAAAGGAAAAAAGAGGAATTATATCCTTTCATTCTCCTTCCATCCTCTCTATTTCCCTCAATCTAAACATACCATAAAAGTTGCGAGGTTTACTTGAAATTGTTTTGGCCTCCATAACCTGCCAGTATATATACACCTATCCAGTTCCTATTATTTTTTTATTTCTCTTCATTTAAAATGAACTTTTTTTTGTTAATGGAAAATGTGGGTGTTTTAGTTGGACTTTATAAGGAGAGGGACATTTAACCTAGTGCCAAGCTTGGTGAAGGAGGCTTGGTTTTTTTACGTACCAACTTGATAATCATGCTAGTGTGAACTAGACAGGACGGTTATCAGCAAAGAAGAGGGCGAAAATTTTGCACAACAAAATGGGCTTCTTATTTGTGGAGGCATCTGCTACCACAACTCAAAATTTCAAGGAGGTGATTCCTTAATATTGAAATAATTCTCCCTTTATCAACGACTATAAAATATACAAACTATAAAACTGCAAACCCTTAATTTCAACCATCCAAAATATTAAACTGAAGTATCTCTAGTAGATATTCAATTCTGTCTTCTCCTCTGGTCCTAGGCTCAGGACCACATGACCGTCTTCATGCAGTGGGAAGGTATGACCATGGTTTACAAAGATGAATTTACTATTTAGACACGAGAGAAGTCGAGAAGAGACTTGGTTTAGCACTGCTGGATTGCAATTATAATTTTATATTTTTTGGTTTCTTAACGTTTTAAAAATAAATAAAATATATTTAATATTTCTTTTAATTAATATTTTATATATTCTTAAAATAATAAAAATATATAAAAATCAAAAAATCAAAGGCTAGAATACCAAAACTAACATTCCCGAGCAAAACCTAAGTTGAATGAACTAGCACATACTACTTTGTGACATCAAATGTAAAATGTATATCAATTTATAAAATAAAACCCATTGAATGAAAAGACACAATCTTTCCCTACCTAATTGGCCCAATAAACACAACTCAAAACTAAAAGGAAAACTTACCTGTTAACATCCCCCATGGAAAAACAGTTTAAAACGCTTGAAACGACAGTTGGTTATTTTGGCATGCACATGCTATAAACATAACAAAGTCATTTTCCTTGCCGATGCCACTAACGGTTTATACAAAATAGACATTGTCAAACAAAAAAATATCTATATAATTTTAGGAACACAAGGTAGAGTGATGACATATATGCATGCAGCACACATCAGTTCCACTTTACCAACTCGTACAAATGCAATGCCCTTTCAACTCCTCAAAATGTGCCTCAATACATTTTCTCTTATGACCCTCTTGTTGGAAGAATGAACTTCCATCACCATCTCTCGACACAATATACACAATAAAATTTTCACTTCTATTGTCCATTGTCCATCAATCCTAACAACATCTTGGAGTTTCCCTACCAGAATAAGATGCAATCAAGCCCAAAATCTTATGAGAATTATTTTTTATCAGTTGTGACGCCAACTACAACGTTGCTCACCTGCAATATTTCATGATTTTAATCAGCATACTCTCTCCTAAATTTTATTACTCAACACAAAAAAGAATTAAAACAGAGGGGTAAAATTACCAATTTGCCACTTTCATCAACAGACATGGGGTTTTCAACAACAACTGTTTGGCTCTGAGAATGGGCATTGACCGCAGGAAATAAAGCATTATACTCAACATTGGACAATAAAAGAACCATTAAAATATCTTATTCAAAATGAATTAGCAAAACTTAAGAACTTACTGTTGAAGTAGAGGGCGTATTTCCAGAAGCAGCTGTGCCATTAGGTCTGTTCATAGGAAGTGGGACCCTCACATTGGCCATCTGCAATATCGAGAGAGAGAGAGAGAGAGAGATCAGATTGTGGATTTTCAGTCTAGAATATCCAAATAATTGTCATTATGCCCTCCTAATCATTAGCATTCACTAATGATGTTTTCATCATTTCCAGAGCTGGACTGGAAATGACTAAAATGCCCTCTTAATCATCAGCATCTCATCAATGGCATAATGAAGACAAACCTATGAGAATTTATCATACAAGATCAGAAAAGTTTAATATTTCAAAATATCTGATGTCTAAGATGATAGGCTGCGAGCATAATTGTCAATTCCAAAAATTATATAAATTATGAAAGATTTCAGAAGGATGACAGGGGAGGCCCATATTCTCTGGTTTGCAAAAAATCCAAACCATTTTCAGATAAGTTCTTTTATATAATCAGTATAATTGCTATGAGAAAGTGTTGCTCAAGCATCTTGGCAGTTGACTTAAAAAGGGGAAGCAGGCAAAATTTATGGAGCTCAAGTACTTGACAAGGGTATGTAATGATATGGTTAAATCCCCATTATGGTCCCTCTACTTTGGTAAAAAGCCCCTTTTTAGTCCCTCTACTTTAAAAAGCCCCTTTTTGGTCCCTAAAGTTTGAAATTTGGCCTCTTTTTAGTCCCTCCATTAAGTTTTGCACAAGTGGGACATTAGATGATGGAAATTTCAAAGTAAAGGGACCAAAAAGGTCTAAAAAATAGCCCCAATTGGGTCCCTCTACTTTGGGAAAAAACCCCTTTTTGGTCCATCTACTTTGAAATTTTCATCATCTAACATCAAAACTTAATGGAGGGACTAAAAAGGGGCTTTTTGCCAAAGTAGAGGGACCAAATTGGGGTTTTAACCTAATGATACATATATCAAGAATGAGTTAGCAAGACTTTCCACCATGTGGAGACTTTCATGATATATCTCAAACTTAGAGAACAATATGGAATGGTTTTCCAATAGAACATGCAATCCAATGGGTGGCTTAATGAAATATGAACTGTAAAGAAGAGTATGGAACGTTGAATCTCCACAAATATACAACTTATCACCTAGATACGTGCTCAAATGTTTAGCATATTGAAAGATTGTAATTTAATATACTTACCCCAACATTAGTAACATATTGACAAACAGCACACTTGACTGATGGAGCTCCATATGGATACATTAATGTTGTGCGGCAGTGCCCACAGTTGATGTGAGCAACCTGGTTGGTTGCTTTTGCAGTCCCAAAATCCAACAAAAACAAGTCAGTAAACAAACTACAAACAATACAATGAAAAGAGAAGGAGATGAAAGGCACCATACAGAACAAACTAATAGCATCTATATATAGATTTCACCCACTTCCCAAAACATATTTCTGTGTCTATCTTGTCAACAAAGAGATTTTTTTTTTTTTTCCTGGTACATTAGACGATGGGCTATACAACAAGGAATAGCCTTCCACTTCCCTTAATCCCTTCCCACTCGTCTCAAGGTTTGAACTTGAGATCTCCAAAGAGTCTCAAGTTCTTAACCATTTGAGACACCGCCTTGGGGGTCTTTGATACAGAGAGAGTGGATCTATTATTAAAATGATTGAGAATTTTTAGATGGAAAAATCATTCAAGATTTAATTGGTTGCCAAGCTGAATGCTAACTATATATTAATATGTCACTCAATGAAAGGCAAAAGTTCATGTCAAAGTCAACACATTTCCGACATAAACACTTTAAATATCTGGAGGAGAATGCAGTCAGAACCTGCTTCTTTCAAAATAAATAAATAAATGCACATAATTTTTTAAATGGAGAAGTCAAAAGCTATCAACTTGGTTCTATATGAACTACGAAGGACACTAAAAACATACAAGTTCCAAGGTAGAGAACACAGCTATAAACCTCAAACTAGGTAACAAATTAGCTGAGTAGCAGTGTGATACAGAAGCATAAAGTTTTTCTTAATTACTTGTTTAGCTTGAGTTTTCTTTGGAGTCTAAGTTTTAATTTTAGGAAAGTCATGTAGATGGCATGTGATTTCTGATTAGGACTAGAATTAGTAGGTTATTAGAAGTTCCAATTAGTATTAGGATTCTTGGCTATTGTTAGTATATATAGTTATCTTTAGATCTCTAAATCAGTTTTTGTTATGAGATTTTAGTTTGAGAATAAACTTGAGGTTAAAAACCTAAGTTTTATTGGTTCCATCTTTAATTTTACGGGGTTCTTAGTTTCTGTTTGCTCTACCCCTATCTTTCCTGCATCACAGTGACAGCCATACATAGTTCAAAAGTTCATTCTCCAATCTTATTCAAAATAGTCACATTAAAATGCTGTCTTACCTATGTAACAAAAAATATGACTTCCAAAGAATATGCAGCAGCTAAAAAAATTGAAAGAAGAATGAAAGGGAGAAGAATAAAAGTTCCTAACTTGACCAAAATAAATGTTTTAAGAAGCCAGACCAAGGATCTCATCCAATTTGTTCTCTCTCTCTCTCTCTCTCTCCCTCTCTCTCTCTCTTACTTTTCTTTTTGTAGTAGCAAATATTATGTGATAAAAAGAAGTATTATACAGCTCACAGTGATTCCCGAAAGAAAAAAGAAAGATTTTGATAGCATTCATTGGGTGACAGGATTCCACAACTAAAACTAGTTTACATTCTTGAAAAGATTTTAAGGATTGAGACAATTATTTTGTCCATAAAAAATAAAGGCGCCATGTCAGTGGTAAAAAGATCAACCTGCTATTTCTTACAAAGATTTTTCGTTTCAGGGAAAATGACTGCAGGTGTTACATCAGCACAAAAAGCATATACCTTGTGGTGCGAGGTTCACATTGTGGCAGCAGGAGCATCTCACACTTGTTGCTCCACGTGCATACATTAGCAATGTTCGGCAACTTCCACATATAAGTTGAGCCATTTCCATCCCTGCAAGGGAGAATTGCAAACTTAGGTAGTCAAACTCTAACAAAGTTGTTACTCTCTTCCCCTTTACATCCCAACTTATGCACTCACGTTTCACTTCAAACTCCCAAATAGAGTTAGTTTGTGTCAAGAACCATTTCAGCCTAAAATCTATTGCATATAGGTAATTGATCTATGCAACCAATTCAAGTGGTAGTGAAAGCAAAGCCATGAGAGCGAGAATGGAGGAAAGCAATTTTAAGATTTATAATAGTCAAAACCTAAAGAAAATAGAAAGCAAGAGCAACAGAAATTGCAAGAGTTGCAGGAGTCGAAGGAAACACTATCGTTTCCAGTTTTATGCTACATAGGAAAGGGCCCTTCCCACCTACTTCCTAACACATTTCTTTGAGTAACAGATGATTACCTATAATAATAACATATATGTTAGGTTAGGTATTTGGATTTCCAAGTTCAAACTCACAGGTGCTCTGCCTTCCCATATATCTTTTAACAAATTAGCAAAAGGTGGTATGCTCGACAAACATTGCTAACATAAAGTTGTTCAAATATTGAAGCATTTAATTATCACTTCTCATGAATTCATAAGAACCCGAAAAAGTCAAGTACTGTACAAAGAAGACAAATAAGCATCCCAATCCCAACAAAAAAAAAAAAGAAAAAAAAAAGAGAGTACCTTTATATTAGCAATTTAGATAATAATATAAATAAAGCATACCAGGAGGAGGGACTTGGGTAATTGCACTACACAATGCACAACAAACATTTGTAGCTCCTCTAGGATAGAGAAGCGTGCTCCTACACCCACTACACACAATTTGGCTCTGCATTGCTGCAATCTGAAAAAGCTTTACATAAGGGTTCTTTTCGAAGATTATATAATCAAACAAAAATGATAACTTTTAAATACCCAGTTACCATCAAAGATCAACAATTCGATATACAATAATAATAATAAACACACAATTACCTAATCCTCAACAAGGGACTTTCAGGCGGAATCGAATAAAGAGTCAAACTTTCCTTCAAAAAATACCCAAAAAAAAAAAAAAAAAAAACATTTACCTGATCTTCAACAAGGAATTTTCACGCGCAATCGAATTGAGAGGCCAAATTCCTTCAAAAAAAAAAAACAGGGGAAATAAATTCAGAAACCATAAAACCCATCGGTATATAAATGGCAAAGTTTAAGGATTAAGAGGAGAGGAGAGATCGCTGACCAGGAAGCCGATTGCAAGCAAAGGCCGTGAAAGCAGTGTTGTTGGACCCAAAGAGACGGTGTGGAAACAAGAAGAAGATAAATGATTTGAGAGGGCAGACAGAGGTGATCGAATTGGTAGACTCGGGTCAAGGCAGATTTTGTTGGGGTGAATGGATAGATTTGGTCTTTCTTTAATCTCGTTGGATTGGGAGAGAAAATACCGTGGAATTGAATCTTTCCAATGGATTTCCTCATTCACATTTCTACCTAAGCTGGTTTTGCAGTTTTAGGCCCATTACTATTTCATCATTTTTAATTAAGGTCAGCTGTTTTCTTTATTCTAAAAATTTGACCTAACAATTTCTCTTCCCCACTTTCCCAGTGCATGGCTGCCTTGGCCTTTTCTTCCACAGACGGTCCTAGCTCTTCCTCTGCCCTTGAGTCCTTGACCCTTTTCCCTCCAGAGTAAAGTGGGATTCAAATATTCAATCTTGGGTGGTTAATCTTTAATGCAACTCCAATCAAAAGAGAGAGGTATCATTTACCCATGCAAATGTGAGGCTGCTTCCAAACTGACATTCTTTTGCTTGTGCAGACTGAAAAACCATAATACCCATCGTAGGGGAGTACTGGACCCAACCTGTCCAACACTCCTTGGCCTAGGGAGCACAGGCGGTTTTCATTTTCTCTTTTGGCTAAAGAACTGGTAAACTTCTTATTCAAGCTCAACATTCCAACCCAACAAAGCAAGCTCAAGTGTACTAGTACAATAAGGAAAATTTACTAGGTTTCTTGGTAACATGGGACAAATGTAGTACATATATAACAATCCTACCATAGTGGTCTGTTCCTCATGCCACCGACATCTTTGCTTAATTTCATATACATAGAAAAAATGCTATAATCCGAACAAGTACAAAGTCTTGTGCTTTTCAGGATCAGAATCATCAGATGCGTCGAAGTGAGGCCAGCCTCTTTTCAAGATCCTCAACATCAGTGGACTCAGAACTGCATATGAATAAAATAAATTGTTAGAAGTTTATCCAGAATAAAAGAGGAATCGCTTGACAAAACTGTGGTTCAAAAATCTGTATCACCATCACCATTCCAACAAATCCTTAACATATCAGGAAGATGTTATTAAAAATTCAAACAGCAGAAGTTGACTAAAACAAAATCTATTGAGAGCAAATCTAAGCTCTGCCCCTGTACAGGTTTCCAGCAAAATGATTCTAGGAAACATTTCCACAGAGGATGCTGTCACTTTCAGGAGAGGTTCAGGTTTGAAGACAGGATGAAAATTTATGGACCTTAAACATGATCTTAGAAAAACAAAAACAGAAATAGAAAAAGGGGGGGGGGGGGGGTGGGAGGTGGGTCACTCCAAGAAATGGAAATCCACAGCAGAGGGCTGATTAAGGGAAAAATGAAGAAACCCCCACCAGAGTATATAGGAGTAGCTTTGCTATGTTGTACTGGGGTTGATTCATGAATGAGAAAAACCCTTTTGAGAGTTTTGCATCCTATTTACCAGAACAACCAGATTGTTTATCATAATGCAATTCTATTAGATTATTTTAGTTGCACACGCCAAATTTCTAAAATATACTAAATATGTAGGTGTTTTACTCAGGAAAAGTAGCAAATACCTAGTTTGAACAGGGGGAGCAGCATTCCTTGATGCAATCCGACCTTTTGGTGCTGAAGATAACTGTTAAAGAAAGAGCAAGGACTTAGCATTTGTCAAGACAAAGTTAATATAATGTAAGTGCCAACATAAAATGTTGGAATTTCCATGGCATTATCAATCTCAAAGAAACCAACCTGGGAAGCAATATCCACACCAATCTCATCAAGGACCTGAAAATGAACCGTATTGATTAGAGAGAGATATCTTGAAGGTAACACCTTAAAAATAAAAAAAAAATAAAAAAATTTCAATTTTTTGACGAATATCCCACCTGGTTGGTAAGCTCCTCTGTTTCCTCTTCAGCCTCATCTTTGTCTAAAGTTTCATCAATAGCTTCTGACATCATCTCTATCTGCAAAATGGAAAAAGACAGCAAGTATTATAGGACTAAAAAGTATAGCAAGACATACTAGACACAAGGAGGAGGGTATATCTACCCCTTTCAGCAATCATGGTTTACTTAACAGTCTAAGTGTAGAGTGTCTAATGGTAAATTTTCACCATGAAGCTAGAAAATTCACCTAGCTCCAAGTCTTGTCACACACACCCAAATTGCAAGTTATATCAAGCAAGTGTATGCACCTTACAGTTACCAAAATTGGCTCACATGGAAATGAGATAAAGGAAGACATATTTGGCAATATAATCACTAGGGAGCAAGGTTATATGTGGGGAAAATACGAAAGAAGAAGAAGTATAATGAGAAAACACGAGCATTACCGTCATGTCCATTTGTGCTGACTGCTTCTGGAATTCTTTTATCACCTTTGCTTGTTTTGTGGGAGCCATTTGCTGGAAAAGATGCACAGTATAATGGTATCACATCAATCAAATAAGAAAACCACAAAGAAATACTAAAGAAAAATGCATCCTTCAATTCAGTAATAAGAGCTATAAGCTGAGTGAAGGACATGAACACTGCAGCCAAAATTATTATCCATGCACATTGCAATTAAAATGAAATGCAGAGTTCAAGAACTATGCCTGACTCATTATTCTGGCACTTTTTTAACTGCCTGTACTAAGAGCTAAATAATACAGCTACAACAGAATCAACAATCTGAACAGAGATTTTGTTTGCATTATACATAAAGCTATTTCCCCATGTCAGCACCATAGCACGTACCTTGTTCATTGCTACCATTGCTTTAGTTGCACCTTTCATTCCAGTAGATATTGAAGTGCCAGCATAGAGTGCCTGTGAACATAAAAACAAATTGTTAAGACAAATTATTCAAGGGATTCAAACTTCATTGTCCAATTGACTACAATTCAATTGTACAACCTGTGTATGAGTTGCAACTCCTCTGATCTGGGCCCGACTGCCCTGCAAATTGGTTATTTGTTGCCGAAGTCGAACAAGCTGACGAGCTAAAATTCTAGTGGCAGCCTAAGAATTATTCATAAATGATAAGCGTACAAATTTGAAGATAAAAAGAAAAACCGGAAGTATTGGGAATATACATGATAACATGAGCAAACTCAATTTGAGGAGTTAGTTTTCAAGAAGAATACAATGATTTATAACATGTGGATCTTTCCTAGATATTTATTTCTACAGATCTTTTAATGACGTGAAACTATAGGCCGAAAAGCTTCAAAGTAATGCTTCCAGAATAACAAGCAATATTCTATTCTTCCACATGCAACATGAAATATTAGGGGAAAGATGAAAATATTTCTTTTGAAAAAGATTAATTGAAGGGGAAAGAAGAGAGATGACCAATCCAAAGTAATGGCCTTTATACAAGTTGTTCAACTTTTTTAACACTTGGTCTCACAGTTAGAAAGGCCTAATGCTTGTTAAAATGGGAATCTTGTTCTCCCTCACCCCTTCCACAGCATGCAACTTCGGTGCACTTGAACAAGAAAGGATGCATGACACATAAGAGACCTTATTGCCACTAGTACAAATAACCACAACCTATTTAGGCAACACCAACTGGCCCTTCAGCACATATCTGTTTGGCTCAGTAAATCACATAGCTCTTCAACCAAACTATTAAACTTACCTCATTTCCAGTTTTAGCTGTCTTTTTTATCTCTGCTACCAGTTTCTTTTCCTGTAATATCATTCAATTCAAGTCAATGAAATTTTGGTGAAATAGGGAACATAAATGATGAAGTTTTAGGCAATAGTTAAATACCTCCAGTTGAAGAGATGCAATCTCACGTTCAATGCCTACAAATACAGAAGAAAATTATAGCACCAGTATACAAGAATTGTAGCCAAGAATAAGGAATTAACAATATCTAGTTTAGTTGTCAACATCATACGAGTCAAATCATCAGGGCCCTCAAAAATTGAACTTAATCAGACAAAAAAATACAAATATGAGGGTAAATTTAACAAACTTATATGGATTCAACTGCATTTTGCCAACAAGTCTAAGGCTTTTTTGTGAAATTGAATTGGCCTTAGAAAATAAGTAATCCACGAGAACTAAAAAAAAAAAAAAAAGGGGGGGATAAAACGAAAAGAATCCAACTTCAGAAGTAACATGATCCCCCCATGTTGATTAGCAATAACCGTAGCAAGTTCCATAAGGAAATCAATAAAAAAGAGAGTTTTTTTTTTT